GATGGCACCAGGCCACCTGACTCTAAACTGTCACCAGGATAACTCAGAAACTGGTCTCCTCCCAGGACCTCTGAAATGTGCGTCTGCTTGGCCCTTCTCCCAAGTGCCCTAGATAGCCCGTGAGTGAACATTTAAGGCAAAATGTTGACGGAATATCGATTCGAATAGCTGCAAATGTTTTGTTGCCAGGGAACCCTGTGGCGACCCCGACGGGGCTTGCTTTCTGGACCTGCTGCGTACTGTACCTGTTGGCTGTGGTCTTGATTTCCCTGTGTAGATGTCACAACTCATAGGTCTTTTGTGATGATAAATCAAAGCCTAATAAGCAAACGAAGACTAGCAGATCCACAGCAAACTGAGAAAATTACATCCTGACATCTTCAGGAGAGCTGAGAAAAAGGGGTCCTTGCTCCACCCTGAAGAAGCCCCTAGACTCCCATCCGGTTCTGGTTGCCAGTCACGCTGGAGGGGGGGCGTTGGTCACAGACAAGCTGCAGGTGGGCTGTGCTTCTTAAGGAAGGGGAAGTTTAATTTAATTATGTCTACAATGAAAAAATTACTACTGAAAGTTGATCTCACCTAAATTTTGATGTGTCAAGGGTCAAAGCCTTGGCTAGGCCATTTCAATTCAAATGCTGGCTAATTTAGTGTTTTCTGATGCCTGCTCAATTCATCTTCACAAACACTTTTCAAGGGGGGACTTTGATCTCTATTTCGCAGCAAAGGGTAAGGCCTCTCATTTAGTGGAGGATTATCAACCTGAAGTCAAAGTGAAATCTGTGTGGTTCATACATAGTTCGTGCACAGACTTCAGACCTGGGCGAGGCTCTGCAGAGGTCAAGGCCAAGGTTACTCTATTAAAGAAACAGGTCGGGTGATGTTGTCATGAAAAGTCACAGATTTGTTAGGAAAGCACATGCATTGGTCTTTGCTGGGATTTGTATTTTAAAACCCCTCATCTCTTGTCTGTATTAACTTTTTAAAAAGTTTTTTTTTAATTGAAGTTGTTTTGGTTTATAACTATTTTTTAAATTTTTTTAGGGATTTATTTATGCATACATAACTGGGGTGCAGGCCAGAGGTGGGAGGGGAGAGAGGATTCACCAGAGACAGAATGGGGAGCAGAAGTTCACTGCTGAGAGTAGCAGCAGGGAGACAGGTGAGGTCTGCTGCGCCCTGTGGGTCACTTCCCTGGCCAAGGATGGAACTCACACTGAAGCGCCGTAGCTCACCGGCAGACTGCGCTTTAACCCATTGCGCCCCAGGGAGGGCCTGTATTAACTTTTGAATGAGAAAAGTCACCCCTGTGTTAGAGCTGCCCCCTTGTCCAGTGCACTGACTGTGGAGTGGTCAGTCCTGGAGAAGCTGTGTGGCCATTTCAAGGCCTAGCAGTCGCTCACCCCAGGCCCCTTTGTCTGCCTGAGATGGTCCCGCCTTGACGGCAGCCTGATTTCTCCTGAGGCAGCACCTTAGTCAAGCTCCCATTCCCTGTTGATGGCTGGTGGAAATGTTTTACTATTGTGCTAGATTTCCTTGGCTACGGTGTAGGTGTCCATCATCCACCGACTCCCCTCTGTGGGTGCTTAGTCATGCAACGCAGAAACCCGACTCTAAAGGAAATGGCTCCCCATGCCTGCCTCTCCCCTCCATGGCCCCATTTGCCCACTTGCCACCTCTCCAGGAGTCCTAGACCATTCAAAGGCCAGCCCAGCAGCCCCCCACAGCGGATCAGCTGACAGCTTGTTTCTCACGTTTCCCAGCAGCCAGGAAGCTGCAGGCTTGAGCTGATGCCCTCACAATGCACTGATCACTATTTGCTTGACACTATTGACTTTTTGCAGTAAATAGAAGTCCCTCACCACATCAGGATCCCTTAATATAAGCAATGAAAGTTGAGGCTGATAAACACATGGTCTTTCATCTTCACGGCCCTAGGGGGTTTCTTTTGTATTCTTTGTCTTCAGGAGCAAGAACAATGAGGTTAAATGCCTCTTGTGCTCTTTGAAGTGGCTCCAACTACATCTACTTTAAATATACATTGACTTAGCAGAACCACTTGAAATGATACAGTTTTGTGAATGAGTGGTCAATCAAGAAAATTTGATTAAAAACACACCCATCCATAAATAGGTGAACTTACAGGAACACATTGATACTTACTTTTACAGGAAACATATTTGGAAAGTCTTCCCTCTAGCATAGAAGTAAAATGAAATTAATGAGTGTACTGTGTTAGGGACTGATCTCTCCTTTCCTCCACAGACTCTGCATGTTTTTTCCTCTGGAATCATACAATCAGGTCAAAGAGTACCATGTTACCCTGGAAGAATCCTCTTTCAGTTTCTCTATTCTCTGGAAGTCTTCAGTCGCTTGCAGCTTGACTCTTCTGGCCCTTGCCTTCTTTCCTGCCACTCTGGCCACCCAGCAGTAGTTTTTTTGGCTCCTTTGCCATCTCCTATCCTTGCCGACTGTGTGCTGAAGCTGCTGACGACATTTAGTACAGGCTCGGGGAGATCATTTTAAGAAAGGCTTTTTATTACTCCCTGCCAGGAAGCAGAAAACAACAGGCCATCTTAGGTTTCAGTGACATTTGGAAAGAGATTTAAATTTACGTCCATGTGACATTTACAGAAAGTACCCTTCATGTCGGGACTTGAGGCTTTTGTATTTCCTTTTCAGACCTCCCCCCCACCCCCCATAGTCAGATGCGTCAGGGTCAGAAAAATAAATGCCAATTGCCCAGGTCTGGCAAAGGCCTTTGGACCACTCTGAAACCCTCAGCTTTCTCCCCTTTACTTTTTCTTAAGTCTTTGTGTCTTAAAATATTCTTCCTCGACTCTAAATCCCCTCTACTTACAAGTATCAGTCCTATTGCTTGAAAAGAAGTCCTTGAAAGAAGTCCAGAGACTTCTTTCTAGTTTCTGGAAAGAAAAGAGTAGTATATAGCCCATACTTATATAATTGTTTCTTCCTTCATCCTTTTTTCAAGTCTGCATACTTCGGGTTTCTGTCCAACCAATGCAGTTTTAGCACAGATGACCTTTACTGTCAGCTGCATAACATCCCAAAGCAAAGCTTAATGGCTTAAAGTAGAAGTAACTATCTTACCTATCCAGTAACTGGCTGTGGGTGACTGGGCTCAGCAGGGTGATTGTTCTGCTTTATGTAGCCTTGGCCTGGGTGCAGTCACCTGTAGGGTGAACTAGTTTGAAATGTCCAGAGTCACTTACTCACACAGCTAAAAGTTGGTGCTGCAGTGTCAGGAGGTTGACTGGGTTAAGTAACCAGAATTACTTGATTATTCTCTGGGTGTTTTTGACTTCTCACAACATGGTGTCTGGGTTACAAGTTCAGGACAGCAGTTAAATGTTCTCAAGCTTTATAGTCTCACTTTGAGTTGTATTCTTTTATTTATTTATTTATTTATTTTTAAAAAGGTTTTTATTTGTGCATACAGAACTGGGGTACAGACCAGAGGTGCAGGGGTGGTGAGAGGATTCACCGGAGACAGAGCAGGGAGCAGAACAGGCCGACTGATGAAGTACACTGCTGAGGGGAGCAGCGGGAGGGTCAGGAGAGGTCTGCCGCCATGTGGGTCACCTCCAGGGCGGGAATCGAACGCATGCCGAAGCGACTCTAGCTTCCTAGTGTTGTGCTTTAACCCACTGTGCCACCAGGGAAGGCCCTGACCTGTATTCTTTTGGTGAAAACTGCTCACAGGCACTGGCCAAATTCAAGGGGAAATAGAGTCCAGCTCTTGATAGACTGGCTTCCTGGCCATATTGCAAAAGACGTTTGGGATGCTTCAGTCACATAAACACAGATACTAAGGGAATCTTTCTCCACTCAACCAATCCTGTATGGCCTTATCACTACTGGACACGCTCCATGACTCCCTGGTGGTGCTGCCTCGTGGCCCCTTGCTGTCCCTCCACCTACTCAGCTCCAGCCTTCTCTGCTTGCTCTTTTCCCCCTCTGTGCCCCTGGTGTATTGGTGATTTTATCTTTTCATTATCATTTATTTCTTAAAAATTAATGTATACACTTATGTTTAGACTTTGATTCATTGATTTGACAAATATTTATTGAGTAACTAGTATGCACGTACGACCTGCTGGATGAAAATTGTGACTTTTTTTGAGGTCACTGGTAGCATTTCCTTCTCTAGTGCCAGCACATATTTGGATCTTAATAATTGTTTGTTAAGGAAAAAGGGTTGCAAAAGGGCCACCTTTAACTTAATTCAAGAAATGAATTTGAAGCTGAATGTCCACCAATGGAAAAATGGTTGACTAAATTATGGTATATCCGTATTGTTGAGTTTAATACAGGGTGGAATAGTCTGTATTAAACTAGGATGATCTGTGATCTAGAATGAACAGAAAATACCTGGAAAAATTTAAAAATAATGTTATATAGATAGAGATGTATGTAGATGGCATATTTTGTATAAGCATAGCATACTGCAACATTAGTCACATCGAATATGCCTTTTTATTATAATTAACGACCAGCAGTTAAAAATTAAGTAGTGATATTCAGAAATCAATTTTGAGACCAGATATGAGCCTGTAGGCAAATAAAGATTGGTGGTTAGGTAGAAAAATACTACTTAGATGGCGAAAGGGATGTTTATGAAAACAGGAACCTCCTTTCTCTGTGTATCTATTGAAGCTTATGTAGGCACAGAATTATGTCTAAGAATTTAGAATAAAATACAGTAATGCACGGTAGCAATGTCTGGATGGCAGATGATTTTTATTTCTTCTGTTGGTTTATCTGTATCGTGTCATTTCAAAACAATGAGCACATCTTATTTTCATAACAGAAATAAAATCATTTCTAAAAACTGAAGGTAGTGCATGCAAACAGGTGTCATAAAGATGTCTGTTACCTCATACCCAAACCTTAAAAAATATAATAGTAGTATGAAATGACTGCCCGATTCATCTGTTTGAGAACAACGGTTGCCACAAAACATTTTTGTTCTTTTCTTGTAGCAAAGATTGAAGGAGGAGAAGGAAGCCAAGAAGGCACGTTTGGATGGCAGGCACGACTACTTGTTTTCCATTGTAGCCTCCTGCGTGGACGTGAGCAAGTCCGACGTGGAGGATGCCGTTCTTGAGGGAAACCAGGTGCGATGCATTTGCGTTCCCAATGCCCAGAGCGTGGCGTCCTCTGGCGCTGTCCCAGTCAGGACCTTCCGGAGGTACCTTGCCTTGGGCGTCGCTCTCTTCAGTCTGAGTCGTGGCAGAATGAACTTAGGGCTCTCCCTCTCTTTGCTTCTCATTTGAGTCACAAGCTGTGCTGCAGACTATTTAAAGCGTCACTTTCACTGCTTGCAGATCAACTGACAGCTGCCTAGACGTGCAGTGAACCATAGTACAGTGAACCTCATGGCAGTTTTGGTGATTGGTGCGATTTAGTATTAATTATCTTTAGTGTGTTGAATGGGTGTTGAAAGGTTTCTTCTCTTCTTCTGATCTGAGTAAAAATGAAACCCTTGTCTATATTTGTGTCTGCTGTCAACAACACAACACTGTAGGGAATTAGCAAAAATGGTAGGATTCTTGTGTATACAATACGTATTTTTTATGGTTAATCAAGGTATTTCTTTGAGTGGAATGCTTACTATGGTGAGACATTTACTCTTTCATGGTTTTTGTGTTGAAAAATTACAATTCCTTCTGTATTGTTTGTATTAGACACAGTCCCATGGAGATAAGAAAGAGGATTGTAAATGCTGATTTAAACAATTTCTAGGGGCCTCCCTAGTGGTGCAAGGGGTTAAGTCTTAGTACTACCAAGCTATCTGCAGCCACTGAAACCCAAGTTCGATCCCCTCCCAGGGAGTGACCCACAGGGTGCAGCAGACCTCTCCTGTCTTCCCACTGCTCCCCTCAGCAGTGGATTTCAGTGAGTCCTGTTCTGCTCCCCACTCTGTCTCTGGTGAATCCTCTTACCCACCTGCAACTCTGGCCTACACCTTAGCTCTTGTGCGCATAAGTAAACATGTGGTTTTAAAAATTGAAGTTTCTGATTCAGAACAGTCATCACCTGCCTTTTCTCCCCGCAGATTGAAAGAATCGAGCAGCTCTTTGCTGTGGGAGGTCTCCGCCACCTGATGTTTTACTATCAGGATGTGGAGGTGGCAGAAGCAGGTATGCAATGTGATGTGCAAAACCCAGAAATATGTCATGAGATTTACATGAGGACGATCTGAGAAGGCCACGGTACAGCTGCCTGGGCCTTTTACCCTTCCTTCTCTGGAGGTTGCTCAGGTAGTGAGCGGTGAAGTTGTTGGGGAATCCTGGTGGAACAGGTTCGATTTTCACCTCCAGGAGAAGGGGACAGAGTGGCAGATATGAAGCCTGATTGTTCTGTTTTTTTTTTTTTCAATTTGTTCATATAGAACTGGGGTACAGACCAGAGGATTCACCAGAGGCAGAGTGGGGAGCAGAACAGGCAGATCGATGAAGCACACTGCTGAGGGAGACAGGAGAGGTCTGCTGTGCCGTGTGGGTCACGTCTGGGGCCAGGGATCGAGCTCATGCTGAAGTGGCTGCAGCCAGCTTCACACAGTGCAACGCTTCAACCTGTTGTGCCACCAGGGAGCCTGGTGGTTCTAATTTTATTGGGGATGTCGGTTTCCTTTCCAGGCTGCAGGGCAACGGGGGAATAGTAAGGTAGCTTGCCTTTGAGACTCGCCTATGTGTCGATTCATTCTGGGCAGTTATGTTCCAGAATTTCAGCTGCGCAGACATCTATTTCTTTTCTATTCCAGCACTATTTCTTTTTAGCATAGAAATTGTTGCCAGGAAGCCACACATGCATTTCCAGTGAAATATCACATTATGTTTATTTTGTACTGACTCTGATTCAAATGAGTAATATTGAAAGACAAGCTTAGTCATTTGCACTTAAGAAAACTTGCAAACCTTGTGTGGGTTCAACTGGCGTATCTATTTCTGCACGGATTGATATAATTTAAAACTAAACGAGGGACATAAGCAAATATCTTATGAGTGTGTTCAAACACCAGATGCATCTTTTCATGACCTTTTTGAAGATCTGGAAACTAGTTATTGCTCTTGGCATGTGGTATGACTATGCTTTTTGTTTAAAAGCTGAGGAAATGATGCATGCCCACACCACCAGACTGGTGTTTCTCCTATGCTAGCCATCTGATATTTCGTGATTAAAGTTCATTATATTTTCAGTGAAAAATCAAAATAATAGAGACAATTTGGATTCCAGCCCAGATTGCACAGCAGAAACTCATGAAATGTTGGCTTTGCCATGGTGGAGGTCTGGGTGAGGGTGGCGTTTCGTGTGTGATTCTCACATGGAATGAGCCAGTGCCTGGGTTGTGAGCATCAGTGCAAGTTCATTTCTGTAAACCTTTCCGGGGTGGGTGGTGGGTGGGAAGTGTATTTTCCTCTGATCTTGGATTAGAATCAGGATATACCATGACTCATCTGGCTATTCTTGGATTCCTAACACGAGTTCAATGTGGGAACTAAAAATGCCCAGTGGATCCACACTAGTTGACCTAAAGTCAAATCTCCAACCCCGGTCTCCCCATTCTCTCCTCCCAGCTTCCTCACATCAGGGGCTTTGGGGCTGGAAATGTTATATTCCATTGTGTATAAAGACCTATCTTCTAGATCCAGAAATCTGCTTTTGGGTATCTAGATTGTTCCACAGTTTTCCTATCACACATAGTGCTGTGATGAACATTGGAGGGCATTTCCCCGTAAGTTAGTATTTTTGGGTTCTTTGGTAGATTCCTCGGAGTGGAATGGCTGGGTCATAGAGCAGATCCGTTTTAATCTTATGATACCCGCCATGTTGGTTTTCACAGGGCCCGGTCCAGTCTGCATTCCCTCCAACAGGGTAGGAACCTTCCTTTTTCTCTACATGCTCACTTAGACCAAACTCATTTACTCCTGCCTCTCCCACTTCTAGTTTTTCCTGGAGCAATTTTACTGTTTTACCATGTGTCAGTGATCTGGAATCAAGTCGGTTCTTTTAGATCCCTGTAAGCCTCAGGAGAGAGATGGTCCATCTCAGGCCTATGGGCCAGTCAACATGACCTTGTGTTAACAGGGATGCTTCCTTCCAAGGAACGCTCCTAGTAACATCTGTGAGACTAAAATTCTTTTGCTTTTGTAGGACAGTTTGGCTCTCCAGGAGGAGTGACTCTGACTTCTGGAAAGATGAAAAAACCCAAGGTGTTTGTGACTGAGGGAAAAGATGTTGCTCTTATGGGAGTGTGTGTGTTCTTCATCAGGACGGACACTTCCAAAGCCATCACCCCTGAGAACATCCATCGGGTAAGGTCTAGAGTGGCCTCTCATCCCAATCACCCACAGTCACAAAATTCCACCAAAAGTATCTCTTTCCATGGAGACAGCCTCTATGTTTATTAAATGTCAGCCCTCAAAGAAGACATTTTCAAAGCGTTTGGAGCAAGCTTCACAGAGGACGTTTGCTTTAAACCTGTTGATTTGGTGGTCTTAATATAGTGTCTCTGTTGGGATAATGTGTGTGTAACAGTGAGGCGTTTTCTTTTAAAAAAGATTTGTCCACACAAACTTAATGGCAAATTTCATGTATTGAAAATGATATAAAAAAGGACACAGACCTCCCATTCCAAGTTTCTGTGCCTCTGTACAAGTCTCCCGTGTCCTCAGCAGGCACATCCTCACTTGGGAGCATATGACTGACCACAGCTTGTGTTCTGTTTATCCCATACTTTTTATGTGGATGATTATAATTGAGAGTAGTTTAAAGCTTGGATGTCAAAATAACAATTTACTGGGCTGATAGATTGCATGCACAGATGGACAATGGTTAGACCACATGTAAAAATTAAACGTTGACCTGAAGCACTCTCCAAGGGAAGCCAACCCCTTACTACAGAAGCCGAGTGGCCGACCCGCAAAGTTACATCTGCAGAATGTCAGACACCAAATAATATTGCTACCATACCATTGGCCAAAGCGGCCAGGATTTGATGGATGACTGCCGGCTTCCCTACTTTTTTTTTTTTTTAAAGATTTATTTATTTGTGCATATAGAACTGGGGTACAGGCCAGAGGCTCAGGGGCGGTGAGAGGCTCCACCAGAGACAGAGTGGGGAGCAGAACAGGCAGATCGACGAAGTCCACTGCTGAGGGGAGCAGCGGGCGGGTCAGGAGAGGTCTGCCACGCCATGTGGTCACCTCCGGGGCAGGCGGGAATCGAACTCATGTGGAAGCGGCTTTAGATTCTCAGTGCGGTGCTTTAACCCGCTGCGCCACCAGGGAGGGCCAGCTTCCCTACTTTTTTATCCATCTTCCAACTTGGGACCCATCAGAAAGCCCAGTCGGTACCCCTAAGCTATCACTCTGGAAGCCCCATTCTGGTTTTCCCTCCTCTGGCTTCCCCACACCAACCGCATCTGATCAGGGCTGGGCTTGCCCCAGGCCCCTGTTTCCCACCAGGAAGCTTCGGCCCGCGTGCTGTGGATGACCCCTCCTATGGCTGGTCTTCGTTCGTCTCCCCAGATAGTTGGTGACGACGACGTTCAGCGATGACTCGGTGGTTATGTTGCAAGTGAGGATGATTTTGACATCTTGGGTCTTTACCTTATTTTCCAGGAGGTGAACTTTAATGTGCTGGACACCGCAGACGGGGGCTTGCTCAACAGTGTGAGGCATTTGCTGTCAGACATCTTCATCCCGGCGCTCAGAGCCACGAGCCATGGCTGGGGGGAGCTCGAGGGTCTTCAGGAAGCTTCCAGCCTCCGGCAGGAGTTCCTCAGCTCCCTGGAGGGCTTTGTGAGCATCCTGTGGGGTGCTCAGGAGAGTTTGAAGGAGAAGGTGAGAAAGGGTTAGTGAAAGATTTATCAGCCAGTGGGTGCCTGAAGCCTATAAGGGAGTGAGACTGCTCTTTTTAAATTTTTTAAAAAAGATTTATTTACTTATGCACACAAGAACTGGGGTGTAGGCCAGAGGTGTGGGATGTGGTGAGAAGATTCACCAGAGACAGAGAAGGGAGCAGAACAGGTGGGTGGACTGAAATACACTGCTGAGGGGAGCAGCAGGGAGACCGGAGAGGTCTGCTGCGCCATGTGGGCCACTCCCTGGCTGGGATGGAACTTGTGCTCTGATGGCTTCATAATGCTGCGACTTAATCCCTTGCACCCCAGGGAGGCCTTAAGACTACTTTTAATTCCAACATCTTGCAAATCTTGAAAGAAAATTGTGGGTGTCTCTATCACCCCTTTAAAGCGGCTTGAAGAGGTGGTGGTGACGAGATTTGAAATTCTGTAGTCTATAGTCATGGCCTCCGGGGGCTCCGTGGAAAAGCTGGCCATGAGGGGGTTTCACTCAGCCATGGCAGACAGGAACAGAATGCTGAGGCTGCTGAGTGTCTTGAGACGAAAGGATTTGGGGGTTGTGTGGCTGGGTGGGAGAGGGTGTAAGAAGGGGTGATGGAAAGGAGGAAGAGGAGGGAAGAATTCACTTGTCTGGAGAGAAGGGTCCAGCCCAAGTGGCAAATGGAGGGTTTAGCTTGAGCCGTTCAGGCCATCTTAGAGGTCACTTGGGACAGAGGGTGACGGATGTGGTCTTGATGGAGGACAGCCTGGGTCAGGCAAGCGTGAGGAGGGGAGGGATCCCCTGACACCAATGCTGCAGTGATTTATCCCTTTCAGGGAAAACTGGGGCCCTGGGCGCCTCCTGGGGTCCCGGAAGCGAGAGAGGCCTTAGGTTGTGTAAGGGGCGAGGGGCAGAGAAGTAGGGCAGTTTCACCTGACGGTGGCCGGTGCTCCGGCCAGCATTTGCGGCTCATGTGAAACTCACTGTGATGCTGGGCCTGCTGCAGTGCAGGCTCAGCCGAATGGAGTTGCTTTCGCGCAAATAAAGCCTTGTTCCCGTGGACTCCCTTCATGTTGTCGCAGAGGCGTTCCAAAGAAGTGGGGTGGGTCCCGACCCAGGAGGAGGCATCGACACTTTCTGCAGCCCAGAGCCCTCCCCTGGGAATCCAAGGGGATGCGACGACGGGAGGGCCCGGCTGAGGCTCAGGGGCACAGCCCCGGGGGCCCCGAGGCTTGTGCTGCCCACGTGGGTTACAGAGGCTCTGTCAGAGCGCAGCCAAGGGGAAAACACAGAGCTGGGAGACGGGGCCCAGGAGGACGGAGGGGTGTCTCTGAGCCCCTCGGGAGCGGCAGGCACAGGGCTGAATGAATTGCCCTTAAGGGGTCATGTCTGAGCAGGGTCCAGCTGGGAGCTGGGGGGCTTAGGGCAAGCCAGGCTCCACTTGGATGCCAATGAGGGGAGCAGGAAGCCTCGAGGGGCCGTATGCGTCTGAGTGGTGTTAGGGACACACCCGCCAGGTCTCAGCTGGTTTGTGGAGCGGAGGGTGACCCCAGTATCTGTGCCCTGCACGCCCCAGCTTGCACCTCCAACGTCTGCTGGCGGGGAACCTTGTGGGCCTGGGTGTCATGTGGTGGCCCTGGGGTCAGGCTGGAGTCTGAGCAGGCGGAATAGCCACACCCCGGCCTGTGGTTCGGAACCGGGGGAGACAGGTTTGTTCTGGTGCTGGTTAAGCAAGAGTGGGCCTGAGCATCGAATTTAGAAATTCACAGTGCCAGGTGCACATTTCCAGAAGGAAACCATATCAGATTTTTCAAATATTGTCCATTTTGTAGAATGTGTGGTTAAAAGATACACTGGGGGCCCTCTCTGGTGGCGCAGCGGGTTAGGACACAGCACTGCAGGTGAGCCGCAGCCGCGTCAGTGGGAACTCGATTCCCGCCCCGGAGGAGTCCACATGGCGCGGCAGACCTCTCCTGACCGGCCCGCTGCTCCCCTCAGCAGTGTACTTCGTCCATCTGCCTGTTCTGCTCCCCACTCTGTCTCTGGTGAGTTCTCTCATCGCCCCTGAGCCTCTGGCCTGTACCCCAGTTCTGTATGCACAAATAAATCAATCTTAAAAAAAAAAGACACACTAGGTTTCCATGTCAAGTCAAAATCCGACAGCCTCTGCTCTCCTCCCTTCCGCCTCCCACCCCTGAAGCCAAGCCATGCATCTGCGTGTAACTTGCTGACTGTAAAGTGTGCAGATTAAGGACTCGGGCGTGTCCCCTCCAGTTAGCTTCAACATGACTGTGGTAGATTCGCAATCACTCTTCTCCCCTCTTCCTCGAAGCTGTCCCCCAGCTTTGTTTTCACGGGCGGGTAAGTTGGTGGCTACGTATCCTGCTTCATTCTCAAATCCTGCTGTGTTATGGCTTTTTCTTTTTTGCCCCCGAACTGGAAGTCTGAGTCAGTCATCTTGAGTGATGTCCTCACTGTGCAGGGAGGTCCCAGCAGTCACTAGTACAGGGTGCAGGACAACTGGACTGGAGGAGGAGGCCCTGAAGCGCCCTCCGAGCCCAGGAGAGGACAGACGGGTGCGTGTGTGTTTCCAAGAAGCACCATCTTACTAACTTTCATTTCATTAGGTGAACCTCCACAAATGTGACGTATTTGAACTGAAGACCCTGAAGGAACCGCTGGATTACTTGACTCTGGCTAATAATCCAGAGACTTTGGAAAAAGTAGAAGGTTGCATGAAAATCTGGATCAAACAGACAGAACAGGTAGTTTTCAGAAGCCAAGCAGCCGTTTCAGATGCCACGCTTCTGAACAGACCCACGGAAGGAGGGAGATTGTGTGGCCTTCTCCCTTGTGAGAATAGTGGGGGCTTAGTGAGGTTTTGATTTGTAGTCATTGGGTAAGAAGGGATGAAAAGAATTCTAGGAGAGGAAAGTAAATGGCTTCATGCACTTACATAACTAAGAAGACTGAACTTTGTCAAGGTTTTTCTTAAGGCATATTTTCCTTTGGTGAGAATCTCTGTAGAAGTACAGGGGTTTTTCTTATTTAAAGAAAGAAGGGAGCTTGGGACTTAACCTTTGAAAAAATGTTCCAGAAAATTCTCAGTGAAGTTGGAAATTACATCCAAAAGTGAGCACAATTAAAGTCAACCAATTTATGGGGTTTCCCAAGCTTTTATTGCTCCAAGGTTAACAGTAAGTGAATAGCCAAGGACATTTTCTAAGGTCAGATCTTCCAGAAGTTCATTAAAGCTCTGGAAATGAGTAGTTTTCAGTTAGAACAGTCACTTAAATTTTGTTGAAGGCTTAAAGCTGCGCATAGGTTAAGTGAGCAAAGGATGTCAGCCAGTGCATCTAAACGAATGAAATATATCGTGGCAGCATAGTTTACTTCTTTTCCGTGGTTTTGCTTGTGTATGACTGTGAGCGTCAGCCCCACTCACTCGCCCGGTACGGTCCCAGGTCCTTGCGGAGAACAACCAGCTGCGGAAGGAAGCCGACGACCTGGGGCCCCGAGCAGAGCTGGAGCACTGGAAGAAAAGACTGTCTAAGTTTAACTACCTTTTGGATCAGCTGAAAAGTCCGGAGGTGAAGGCTGTGTTGGCGGTCCTGGCTGCAGCCAAGTCGAGGCTGCTGAAGGTTGGCATCCATTTCTTTTTCGCTGTATGAAATGGGAATGAGACTTATGTCAGAGAGTAATTAATCTAGGTGTAATATGGCATTAGCTCTATATGAACAAATGTTTAAGATGGGCGCATCTAACCCTTTTACGCTTTTTCATTTTGTGCAAAGAGCTTTAGAATTAAAGCCATTTGGTGACAGGTGGGCAGGTGTGCCTTCGAATTACCAGCAGGCATATGATTCACATCACACGATTGCCTGTACATGATGATTGGTTATGTTGAATTACACAGGATAGATACACACATGATTTTATTATACCTACATGTGACGCATGCATCGACACACACACAATGAATTCAGACCAACTAAGAGTGGTAATAATGAAAACGTACCTTAGTACGTTTGGTACGTTAGTATTGCTATGTCGTGAATTAAAACAACAACATTTATTATCTGAGGGTCAGAAATTTGGGGCCAAGTAGCCGAGTGTCCTGACCTCAGGTCCGGAGTGAGCTTGCCATTGGGTGCTGTTGGATCTGAAGGCTCAGCTGGGGCTGGTGTTGCAGCATCAGTTCTTCACTGGCTGTTGGCCGGAGGCTTCATGTTCTACCTGGGCCTCTTCACAGCACAGCTCAGATCTGTGGGCTTTATTCCCTTAAAGGCGTGAGTGGGCAGAGCAGGGTACCAACCTACCAGCCCTGGGCTTTTGGTAAACGAATGCCAGTTGTGACAGCCCATCACTTTTGTCACCTGGCATTTGTAAGAAGTGACTTGCTAGGGCCCCTAAGGGGAGGCGATGAAGCAGAATCTGACCATCAGCGTTTACCACCACTGGGGCTTGTAGCGGCCACCTGCCACACCTGGCGTGGTTGCTACACCCTCTGTTTATTAGCTGTGTGTGTGTGTTTCAATCCATGTAAGTAACTTGAATGATCAGTAATCATTTATTTCAATAAATGTACTTTTGATTCACATTATATCCTTGCCCAGAGAAATGCAATGGTTTTATGGCAATACTGTTTAGAAATATCAGTTGGGCTTTCAGGAAACCCACTCACTGGGTTGACTTGTGCTGAATCGTGTCCTTTTACTTCATTGCCCGACTTTTCAGTGTTGTTCCATTTTCAAGCTTCTTGCGCAAACCGCATTCCTGGCATGTGGTTGGGAGTGAATGAATGATTGATATATTGATGAATGAACCAACATACAGAGATCTGGGAAAAGGCGTTTAGATTAGAGGGAAGACAAGAAGTCTGGGAATTTCCTAGCCAGCCGAGGGGAAAACTTGGGGTGCTGCCCACTTCGTGTTCTGGCTGATTTCTGGATACATTGTGGAAGGCCGAGAGGAGCCCATTAGGGTCTTAGAGATTTTTCATTGCTCCTTGGTGTGTGCTGTCCCGCACCTGTGGGAGTCAGCTCTGTGTGACATGCACAGGACACACGGGCAGTGTGACGCAGGCACTGTGTTTGCCAGTGGTTATATTGGCATGTCCTCTGTTCATAACTGCATGAAACTTGCCTTCGTGTATTGTGCTTAGAGCTGGCGGGAGATGGATATTCGAATCACTGATGCAGCTAATGAAGCCAAGGACAATGTCAAATATTTGTACACACTTGAAAAGTGCTGTGACCCCTTGTACAGCAGCGACCCTGTGAGTTCATGATTACTACGCCCTTCTCTGATGACCCTTGTGCATGAGCTGAATTCACGGTGGAGTTTTGGTTTCTATTGTAGATGTGACAGTCTGTTGGAAAATTCGTAGAAGACTTTTTATTCTCAAGAAAATGATATTTATAAGCATGCACTCACATGCTTCACTCTGTCTACCTCTTTGTACATATCTGTAGCTCTGATCTATGATATACATGTAGTGTTATATTAAAAATTTATGATATTTTTATTAAATACTGCAATTGATGCTCTGGTCTATAGTCAGAGAGCTGTGGAAATAACCACTGACTTTTAAGATAATTTTTGATTTATAAAAGCATTATTTTTAATTTTAAAAGTAAAAGCAGGAAGTGCCTGTTTCTGTTTATCACACAATTCACCTTAATGCAGCTTACTGGTCATTAACAGGAAGGTAGTATTTCTTGTATTGGAACAAAAGTTGGTTAACTGCTTATGACTAAAGAATAAAACTAAAATGTCCCTGAGATACATTATATTTACAAGAAATGTTAGCTATTATTTAAAAATTGAAATGAAAGTCCCTTAATGCAATTTTAAGCTAATGAAGATAGAAGGATTAGACTTTTAGAATTTTGTTGTTTGTTATTTGCTTCCCTAAAAACTTGGTGGTGTCTTCCAGATTTCCATGATCGATGCTATTCCCACACTTATTAATGCAATTAAAATGATCTATAGCATCTCTCATTACTATAACACCTCCGAGAAGATTACATCTCTGTTTGTAAAGGTAAGTATAATTGTGGTGTCCGTGCACGCTTCCTTAAAAAATTAGGTTAGCTTGTTTGTTTTCTTCCGTATTGTTAATTTTGGGGCAATATTTGAATCGCCTCTCAGTTGCAGCCCTGAGGTTCTCCCACCACTGTAGAACCCATGCTCCATCCTAGTTCCTTGTGCTCTTCCCTCCAGCTCCCTCCCCTGCTGGGTGCCTCAGATCTAGGATCAACGGCAAGTTTTGCCTTTTTGCTGACTCCTCCTTAGTTTCTCCACATTCCACCTATAAGTGAAACCATCCATTACTTCTCTTTTTTCCTTCTGGCTTATTTCACTGAGCATGGTCCCTGCCAGCTCCACCCATGTTGCCGCAAATGGCATGAGCCACCTTTTTGATAGCAGAGTAATATTCCACCAGGTGGATATAACCATATCTTCTTGGTGCAGTCACCACTTCTGGGGCATTGGAACTGCTTATGTGCATATCTTAATATTGCACATTATGGTCCAATAAACATAGCAGCATGCACTCTTATTCTTCTTGGCACACAGTCCGTGTTTTCTCATTGAGAAATTACCAGATAGACATAATGCAATGTTTTTGTGTCCTACACTTGCAAAAAAAGAACTTCATCTTTCAGTAGAGGTGGAATTAAGTGCATGTAAGAGGCTGATTCTAGCAAATCATAAAGCAATATTATTCCCTAAGGCAATCATATAATAAATATTGTTATTTATACAATAAAAATGAAAAAAGATTCTTTTTGGAACTTCGTTCTCCATGTTATTTAGCATCATTTTTATTCCTGCTGAGTATATTTTAATTAAGAAAAATGATATGGAACTGGCTAGGTCCCATTTCATATTTTATATGCTGTGGTTCCCAGTTTATTTGATGCTACATTTGTTTAGTTGGTGTTATTAGAACAGTATTCATGGCAATAAAAGTCACTTGCAACGATTCTGCCAAAAACCATAACAATGTGCAGACCCTGTGTCCTTACTTAAGTGCGGTTACCCCTTTCTGCCCCCACTTTGAACAGTCTCTAAGAGTTAAATGACTTTTCGTATCAAGGCAAGAATTTTAAATTTGGTCTAAAATAGGGGACTTGGGTGGTGAATCCCAGCGCCCGTGCGAGGTGTGAGTCTTCCAGGAACTAGGGCAGCCGCCGCAGCCACAGCTCAGCGGGAGGCAGTGAGGAAGGGACCGAGGTGTTCCCGACTTCTTCACACTTTGAATCCCACGTGACAGCCAAGCAGGAGCGGGAGATTCCTTGCGCAGAGGACTCAAGAGTGTTTGCAGTATTGCCCCAGGTTTCATGCCTATTACTTGTAACTCCTGCTTTTGAACAAAACCGGAACTACCATTTACCTGATGCTTAAAAATCGTCCGCTGTGGAGATGTTGAGGCAGACACAAAGGGAAAGAGAACTGAGAGTGAACCCCCAGGACACGTCCCCCATATCAGTCAGCACTGAGGCCGATTATGTGGGACTCGAACTCCCAACCTTTGCATGGCAAATTCCCCACCCTGTATCACTCCATGCTCAAGGTCTAACTGTCCTTTCCATTTATAACAATCCTACCAAGACAGTGCTGATGAAATTTTATTGAAAGGTTGGCGAGCTGTGTGAAGTGTTGTGGGCCCACTGCTTGGCTCTGCTCTTTCCTCCATTGGTCATGTGGGTGGTGAATTGAGTCCCAGCGCCCGCTGGTGTGTGGAAACTGACTTTGCTGTCAGACTCCGGAAGAGAAGGCCGCTCAGCAGCCCTGAGGCAGGGGAGTGGATCCTGTCGTGCTTGATGAAGGCATTTGTCCACCTTAGATAAGGGGGCCTGGATTGTTGAGGAGGCCCCTCTGATTTCAGAAATGGTCTGACCACCTGTGTGTGGAATCTAAAAATGTCAAACAGAATAGTGGTAGCTGAGGTCCGAGGAGTTGGGGAGATGCGGGTGGAAGTTCTACCCGAGGCCAGCTGTGAGATGAGTCAGTTCTGGGGTATCAATAGCTGTATCGTGTGCTTGCAGGTTACTAGTCTAAAGGCTTCTCAACACACCCGCAGACTGTGAGTGAGGGTGTGTTGATTCACGTGGTTGTAGCAGCCAGTTCACCACGTATGTCTCCCGACATACCAAACTACCGCATTGTGCTACCTAAAAGTATGTGATCTGCGTGTGTCAGTAACTTCAGTAAAACTGGAACAAGAAAGAGTTAGTGCTTGATTAGTGTTAGTTGAGAGGGGAAATAATTCACCCAAAGTTTAAGTCCATAGGTTGTGCAGTCTGAGAGGTAGAGTTAAGGCCCCTGTCAGCCAGCCTGTGAGGGATGCCTGTTTTATGTATTTCCCATCATTTTATTGGAAAATTCTAGGTGACCAATCAGATGATATCTGCCTGCAAAGCCTACATCAGCAGTAACGGGACTGCTTCCATCTGGAGCCAGCCGCAGGAGGTCGTTCTGGAGAAAATATCATCCGCAATTAAGCTTAAGCAGGTGATGGTCAGCTTCACCATTAACTTAGATGGCATTTTATTATTATTATTTTTTGAAAGATTTATATATGTATACAAGAACTGGGGTGCAGGCCAGAGGTGTGGGGAGTGAGAGGATTTACCAGCGACAGAGTACGGAGCAGAACGGGCAGATCAAGTGCTCAGGGGAGCAGTGGGGAGACAGGAGGGGTCTGCTGTGCCCTGGGGTCACTCCCTGGCTAGGATGGAGCCCGAGCTTCACAGTGCACTGTGAACAGCTTCACAGTGCTGTGCTTTAACCTGTTGTGCCACCGGGGAGGGCCTGCATTTTATTATTTTGTGGGACTTTTTTTTTGTGTGTGTGTGACACATACTCAATCAGTTAATAATTGCTGTAATATTGGTTGCTACTTGTCCTTGTAAAGAAAATTCAACGCGAATAAAACTGCTCTCTCAAAAATTATTCACCCGTTTTACCCTTTTTGGGGTCTCCTCTGTTCTAACATTGCACTAAGAGGCTTTTTTTTTTTAAAGATTTATTTATTTATGCATACAGAGCTGGGATATAGGCAGAGGGGCAGGGGCGGTGAGAGGACTCACCAGAGACAGAGTGGGGAGCAGAACAGGCAGATGTACTGAAATACACTGCTGAGGGGAGCAGCGGGGGACAGGTGAAGCCTGCTGTGCCCTTTGGGACCCTCCTGGCCGGGGATGGAACTCGGGTGCTGCAGTGGCTGTGGCAGCTACCAACCGGAAGGGCCCAAGATGAGGTCGTTTTCCTCAGGTTTCTGCCAGACAAGTGGGGAGCCAGCCTCAGGCGACCCTAGCACAGAGGGGCACTGGGCTCGATCGTAGGGACCCAGCACAGGTGACTCGGAGTTTGCTCAGATGTCGGTAGTGAAGGGCGATTTGCAGGCGGGTGGATGACTCGCTGCAAAGGCATGAAATAGAAAGGTCTAGAATTCTACGTTGATGTGCTGCTTGCTTTCGCCTGAGAGAATGAGGCTGATGCCTTTCCTCTGTTCCCTTGCTGTACTGGCCTCGTGATCTTAAGGAATATCAGAACTGCTTTCATAAGATCAAGCAGAAGCTGAAACAGCATCCCAATGAGAAACAGTTTGAGTTTAGTGAGATGTATATTTTTGGAAAATTTGAAACTTTCCACCGACGTCTCGCCAAGATAATAGACATCTTTACAACCTTCAAGACCTACTCAGTCCTGCAAGATTCTGAGATTGAAGGGCTGGAAGAGATGGCGGCTAAGTACCAGGTACAGTGCTTTAAACACAGATCTGCTGCCTCGGCTTGTCACGAAGCTTTTCTAGTGCATGTGCATAACTGTAATTAGAATGATGAGATAATCAGTCTATAATCTGCAAAGCTCACGGCCCTTAAACAATCAAGAAATTAAATCTATTTGAGAATTATTTAATGGTGCTAAATGTCCTTCTCAGGTATGTGATTATGAGGATGACTTTCCAATAGTCCAAAATTAATCATCATTAGTAACAGCATTTTCATTAGTAGTGCAAGAAGAATGTTTAAATCTAGCTTATTATTTTATTTATTCATGAAAGAAACAGTTAATGAAGCATATACTAAATGCTGGTGCTAGCTGACCTTGGCTGCACGACATTTGGTTCTCTCTGAATTTAAGCATTTTGTTTGGATGCATGTTAAAAAAATAAAAGGGACTGTACTTTATTTTAGCTCTGCTAGTCCTGATTATTTTGATTTTTAACTATTTATCTTCTACCTAATCAGAGTTTTAAAAGTGGTGACGGGGAGCCAATGAGGTCTTGAAGGTACTTAACAAATAATTCACAAGCAAAATAGATTTTCAGTTCTTAATGTGGTTACTATAAGAATTTTTTTCTGGTCTGTGGCCAGCGACACCAAAACTTAATTTATTTTTCTGTACTTCAATTCGAAAAGGTTCATATCATTTGCTGCCACACACTGATCTCTGGACTCTGGCAGCTTAGGCCAACATGAAGACTCTTTTTCATTCCCTAAGTACGGCATGTTTTGAGAGGGATAAGAACAAACCGTTTTTACACAGGAGGACTTACTTTGGAAGTGCTGTGTATAATCTGCAAGGTTGAACTCTGCACTTTGAAAGTGACAGTTCTGCAAGACAAAGAGGGACTTAGTCCATTTCCTTTCCAGTTTGGAATCTCCTTATATTCTGCTCTTAATGAAACCGTAATTTAGGAGTATATGCCAAAGTTTATTTTTGAAGAAGCTGAACTGTGCATTTCCATGCAGATAAGGGCTCCTCTAACCTGTTAAAAATACTGGGGAGGGAAGTTGCTGTGAAAATCTAAAGTGAAGTACTGATTACACGGATGGACCGGATCCTCCATCCATGGATTAAGGGTAGGGGTGCAGGAAGGTGCAAGGTGAGGTTTTCAGGTATTAGCGCAAGGCTAGAAGTTCAACATGGTGGCCATGAAAATGGAATCCTGATCCCCTGAGTGACCACCAGGCTCATCTACCCCCTGCCTCCTGGCCTGCCCCTCCTTTCCTCAAGTTCTCCTCAAGTCTGGTCAGTCTGCTTCAGAACTCGCAGTGCTGCCGTTCTGGAAAGTTCTGCCAGTGTGGTCACAGGGCCTCTTCCTCTTTGGCATCCAGATTTTGATTAAAAGCATCCTCCCTGTTAAATTTTCCTTGATCTTGGTGTTGCCTCAGGCCCTGGCTGCCATTATACTTCTCAGTTGTTCACTGCCTGCCATGAGCTCGTTGGTTTGTTTGTGGCTTTCGAAGAATTGATAGGGCATGAGAGGTAGACGGTGAAGCTGACAGATAAATGATTGAGTAGATTGAGTTTGTTAAGTTGGTTCAAAGGTTGTGATTCATCAGTTCTCTGACGTCCTGCTTATAACGGATCCTCAAATCAAATCCTAGAACAGAATTTTTTAAGGACCTCAACTCTTTGAAATGATCACAGTGAAATGCAGAAATGCAGGTTTTCTTCTTTCACACATTTCCTGTAGCATGATAGATAATGTTGTCTGTGTACACTTCCGAAATAGGACTGATTTTGTAGTTACCCAGCGTGACACAGTAGGCTGTTTTAACTGGGAAACTTGACTTCAGAAATTACACAGCTTATACTCTCTTGTCTACTGAGAGATTTGAGTTTTGAGCTGATGTTTAAGTGGAAGTGACTTTGAAGGGGAGATTGTGCAGGAGGCCCGACATTCTTCATGAAATTTATATGCTGTGTCAACAGCGCAGGCTCGGCGTTTGAGAACGGCTTAGGACCTGGTTAAGAATGGCCACACAGCATTACAGCTCATTATTCAGAGCAAACAAAAGCGCAGATAATAGTATTTCCAAGGAGATGAATCACCTAATTTGTGCTTTTGTAGTCACACACCACAGCTTTGCAGAGAGGAGGAAGGAGCAATTAATTCCAAAGTCTTTAAATGCTAGATTGTGGTTTGACATTTTATTTTAGACTTTGGGGGCTTAGAAGATAGTATTTCATTTGTAGATTCTATAACATGACTATTTTCTAACTAAGTCTTGTTTCCTGGTATTTATTTTCTGAAAAGGCAAAACTTTTTGATGAAAAATATTTTACTAAATCCTATTCTGGGCTTTTTTTTTTTTTTTTTAAAGATTTATTTATTTGTGCATACAGAACTGGGGTACAGGCCAGAGGCTCAGGGGTGGTGAGAGACTTCACCAGAGACAGAGTGGGGAGCAGAACAGGCAGATCTACGAAGTACACTGCTGAGGGGAGCAGCGGGCGGGTCAGGAGAGGTCTGCTGCGCCATGTGGTCATCTCCGGGGCAGGCGGGAATTGAACTCATGCGGAAGTGGCTTTAGATTCTCAGTGCTGTGCTTTAACCCACTGCGCCACCAGGGAGGGCCTGGGCTTGTTTTTTTACAATCTCAGATGGGAGGCATTTCTAGAGAAAGCTCCTCTCCTATTTTGCAGATATATTTTTAAATCTTTTCTTAAAAAATGCAGAAAGCTCTATGAGTACACTTTTGAAATAATTTTGTTGAACACATTGGACAATGTCCTACTGAGATCAAACACATAAAGCAATGTAACTAAAGAAATGAGGCTTCTTTTACGTTGATTTTTGGAGAGTGATGGCTTAAGCCATATTTAATTAAGTGACACAGGGTATTGAAATGTCTGTTTTCCCCTACATTTCAGGGTATTGTTGCCACCATCAAGAAAAAGGAATATGACTTCTTAGACCAGCGGAAAATGGATTTCGACCAGGATTATGAAGAGTTTTGCAAGCTAACTAATGACCTTCATGTAGGTTGTATAATAAAATTCCTGTTGACTGTCATGTGTTTGTTTTTTCCACTCTGTATCATGCTGCTAATCACGACCCATTCCCTCCTGAAGGTGACTGATGGCAGCCTTGCCTGCATTTCATTGCAGATTAATGATGAAGGCTCTTTTTCATGGCTTAAAGGGCCATAAATATAGCTTTGGATAATGATCTGTAATCACAGACTTCTGCATGTCTTGTTAGTTTTTAGAAAATTAATTTTCATCTTTTATCGAAACGTTCTAGCCTCATTGGAATATAGAAATTTGTTTCTATTTGTTATTTGACTGCAATGATGGTGACCAGAGAGACCTATGCGAATGGTTCGTGATGTCTGACAAATCCCACAGGGCAGCAGCTGGCCTTAGGAACCCTGGTACCAGGACTGACGCAGTGCCTGGACCCATCTTGGTGGTCAGCACATCTCTCGTCCTTCCTCATGCTGACCCCTGTCCCTGCACCACTGTGAGCAGCCGTCTTGACTTCTGGCCCTCAGGTCATTGTCAGCCACTGAGCACCTATCTTAGACAGCCTCAGCTCCAAATCCCTAGGGAAGGGGTTGGGGGGCCCAGCCCTGGACCTGTCAGTGGTTGGGTCTCCTGGTAAAAGCAGAAGGGATATGAATTCCCCCTTCTCTGTGGTGGTTTAGAAAATTTGTGCTTAGAAGATCCTCTGGAAGGGTAAGGTGGGGTTAGCCCAGTAGGTATTGACTGAGTTAACGTCAACTTCTTTTCATCCCCATCTGGTTCAAAATGTTCCCCTTTCTGATTGTAAAAGGAAAATGGCCACTTCTGTTACTTCTTTTCCAGGATTTTGGTTTGAAATAAATGTGTGTAGTTCAAGGGAAAAGGGGCTCTGAGATGTTCAGGAGGGGTGGGCTGAGGAGGAGGAGGAGGAGAGAAACCAGCGCACTCAGCAGGCCACCTTCTGTTCCGGGCAGGTGAGAGGTGGGGAGACCTTGAGTAACAGCATTGTCCCAGAAGGTGCCCTCTCACTCCCTCATTTCTGAGAGGAGGAAAAGTCAGAGGGACGAGCGATAGAGTGGGGTGAAGCCCAGGGGGCCTGGCTCTAAGATTCAAGTTTTAGCCTGGAAAACTGGTGTGAAAATACCTGCTTGGCCTGTTGGAGCGGGGCTGGGGCGATCAGAGTGGGAGACGAGGCATGGAGAGGTGCCGCGGCGGTGGCCTCTAAAGGCGTGTGCTTGCAGCCCGCGTGGTAGGCTCAGCAGTGACGCTGCCTCAGCTGAGGGGCTGTCTGTGTGCAGAGAGTCACTGCCTGGCACATCAGGAACCAAGGGCCAGCTGGGACTTGACGCTGGAGTCCAGAGTAGAAAATCGCGACTCAACTTCCCGGCTTTCATTGCACTGAATTTAAGTTTGAATTACAACTCTGTCCTACGTCTTAGTGTGGACAAAAGATAAATCATGTGCTTAGTATGTCTGTGCAATTCTGGGGGCCGGTGGTAGACTAGTGTAAGGTTGTGAGGAAAAACCGTCATGAGGATCGGATTAGAGCATGACTTGAAGGCTTTATGAAAGAGGTATTTCTTTAAGTTTTGATATCAAAGTCCCCTTTTGGGGGAATGTTTCTTTTTAGAAGTTATTGATATATTTCCTTGTATGTCATGGGGCCCTGGACTGGAAATGTTCCCACTTGGGACTAGCTCCTGCTAATTTCTTGGGTTCTTGCCGTCTGGCCTCAGGTGGAGAATTCCGTGGGCCTCCATCTCTGTGGCGATGACACAGGATTTTAATTGCTCTAGAGCCAGAATCTGCAAATTGTAGCCAGGCCCAAAGCTGCCCGGCCCTTTGCTGATTGTAGTCGATGGCCACCCCGACTCTAATGGGGTGAGTGGTTGTCGAGGAGATCCTTGCCCTTGAGAGCTGAATGTGCACCGGCCCGTTACAGAGCAAGTGTGGAGAGCTGTCCTGGGGCCTGTGGCTAGCTGGCCAGCCTCCTGCTGCTGTCCCCAACTTGTGGACAGTCATCCCCCTCTCCTTGAAAGGGCCTGGCTTTCTGCGGAGGTCAGTGAGCCTGTCAGTCCCCACGGATCTTACCCCCTGCACTGTGTCCGACCTTGGCACATCTGATCTAGGTGCTTCTGGGAGCCTAGAAGCAGCTAGGCTCAAGTTCTCAAGTTCCTCTTTGTTTTGGCCTCCGGAAATTTCATTTTCTTTCAAGAGCAAGTGAATATTAAATTTCTTTTTTTTTAATAAAGATTTATTTATTTATGCATACAGAACTGGGATACAGGCCAGAGATTTAGGGGTGGTGGGGTACAGGCCAGAGGTGCAGGGGTGATCATTCACCAGAGACAGAGTGGGGAGCAGAACAGGCTGACTGACGAAGTCCACTGCTGAGGGGAGCAGCGGGCGCGTCAGGAGAGGTCTGCCGCGCCCTGTGTGTGGGTCACCTCTGGGGCTGGGGATGGAACTCGCACTGAGCGGCTGCGGCCAGCTTGCAGTGCTGAGTCCTATCCTGTTGCGCCTCCAGAGAGGGCTGAAAATTAATTTCCCGTGACATTTTGTTCCGTGCTACCCATGTTTGTCGGGAACGGGGTGTTCTTTTATCTTTTTTTCCTCAGTGTGAGTTCATTGTTCATGATTAGAATTTATTCTGTTTTAGAATGAGTTGCAGAAGTTCATGGATTTTACATTTGAAAAGATTCAAAACACAAATCAGGCACTCAGTATGCTACAGAAATTTGAAAGGTAAAAATTCAAAACAATATCTTATGTTCAATTTTCTAAAACTGGGCTAAAGTGGACATAGAGATTGACCTTTTATTGTTATCATTTCACATTGTAATGGGAAGGAAGTCATTTCTTGACAATTTGGGTGATATGTTAAGTTATAAGTCACAATTTTTAGGTTCTTGTTTTATTGCTTCTTTCCTTGAAGTGTTTTGTGATGCCTATAAAAACACAAATGTTCAAGTAACTTGAAAAAAGTTTTACCTAAATGCTAAGGATTAATACTATTTTTAAAAAGCACTTTGGTGAGCTATGATTGATGAACTGATTCTATTTTGTTTTTCTTAACATGTCACTCAAGTATCATATTCTCTTATTTTTGTTTATGCATACGAGAACTGGGGTACAGGTGCAGGGACTGAGAGGACTCCCCAGAGACAGAGTGGGGAGCAGAAGAGGCAGACTGACTGAAATGTACTGCTGAGGGGAGCCGCGGGGAGACAGGAGAGGTCTGCTGCGCCCTGTGGGTCTCTCCCTGGCTGGGAATGGACTCCTGCTGCAGTGGCTGCTGGAAGCTTCATAGCACTGAGACTTAACCCCTGCGCCACCAGGGAAGCCATGTCAGAATGTTTTAAAATAAATATATATATTTTTTAATATTTATCTATTTATGCTTACAGAACTGGGGTATGGGCCAGAGGTGTGGTGGGTGAGAGGATTCTCCAGAGACAGAGCGGGGAGCAGAACAGGCTGCGGACGAAGTCCACTGCTGAGGGGAGCAGCGGGTGGTCAGGAGAGGTCTGCCGCGCCATGTTGTCACCTCCGGGGCAGGCGGGGATCGAACTCATGCTGCAGTGGCTTTAGTGTCTTAGTGTTGTGCTGTAACCCGCTGCACCCCCAGGGAGGGCCGCAAATCTCTCCTTTCTTTTTAACCAGGTTGAATATACCAAATTTGGGTATTGATGACAAATACCGGTGTATCCTTGTCAACTACGGGGCTGACATCGAGATGGTCGCCAAGCTGTACACGCAGCAGAAGTGTGACCCTCCTTTAGCTCGTGACCAGCCGCCCTTCGCCGGGAAGATCCTTTGGGCCCGGCAGCTCTCCCACAGGCTCCAGCAGCCAATGCAGCTCTTCCAGAAGCACCCCACTGTGCTGAGGGCTGCCGAGGCCAAGCCGGTGATCCGGAGCTACAACAGGGTGGCCAGGTGCCTCCTGGAGTTTGAGGTTCTTTACCACAGGGCATGGCTTCAGCAGGTGAGCCTCCTTGTTTGTGCTCCTCAGAGCTGCCCCTGTCAGGCCTCAGGAAGCCGTGCTCGGGCCTGGACTCTGTCACTCCCAGACAAGTGTTTTTGGGCTGCTTTGTCAGACAGGCATAGTTGGATGTGGTCATCAGTCAAAGGACGTGATGGGAAATGGTGATTCCTTTTGAAAAAAACCATCATGTCATGCTTCTCTGTCGGGGGGAGTATATTGCCCAGAGTGTTGTGTTCAGGGGTCTCCACCAAGACCTGAAAGCCCTTTTCTGAAAGTGAACCTATGAGGAGAGTGACTGAGCCCCTTGTCTTTAATCTGGGCCTCTTGGCCCATGGAGGAATCTTTGATGACCCCGGTGGCCACAAATGGCTGAGCTGGATGCCCTCGGGGGCAGTGACTGCTGTGATGGTGATACCGATCTCCTTCCGTAGATTGAAGACATTCACATAGGCCTCGAGGCTTCGTTATTGGTGAAAGCTCCAGGCACCGGGGAGTTATTTGTGAACTTTGACCCTCAGATATTAACCTTATTTAGAGAAACAGAGTGCATGTCACAGATGGGTCTGAAGGTCTCACCGTTTGCAGCTGCCCTTTTCCAGAAGCGGGATATATACAAAAAGAACTTCAGTCACATGCAGGTATGATATATGATATTTTCATTCACCCCCCCCCCCCCCACTTTCCTGCTTAGTATTAAAAACACCTGGTGGTGCAGCACAATTCAAGCACTGGTTGTCTACTCCGTGCCTGTGGGCTTTGGGTCTTGCATCAAGACTTGGCCTATCACCTCGGCAATAGGCTGGGACCGAGCTCGGTGATGTGACCCCCTGGGTGATGGGCATGGTCCACAGGGGCGCTAAGGTCAAGATGCATGTGCCACTAGTGTGCAGAACGAATGAATGAATGGACTCAGCGGTGCATGAGCTGAGGTGCTGCAATGTGACTTTTGCTGGTTCAGATTATGACTTGCCCACTGAAGTTTTTTTAATAGCAGGTGAGAAGCTCTTCTCTTACAGTCTTTTTCTTTTCTTCAGAATTGGTTGGATCAGGAATTTATGTTTATGGTGAGATTCCTTGTCCTTAGCTTTATTCTTACTTTGTTTGGCTGGTCTACCTGCCAAGCAGCTAGTGGAACCCTAAAGCTGCACCCTAATTAAATGTCATCCTTCTGGATAAAAAGCAACTGTGAAAAGATATTAAAAGTGGGATATTTGGGCCCTCCCTGGTGGCGGAGCAGGTTAAAACACAGCACTAAGAAGCTAAAGCTACTGCAGCATGAGTTTGATCCTCGCCTGCCCCAGAGGTGACCCACATGGCGCGCAGACCTCTCCTGACCCGCCCGCTGCTCCCCTCAACAGTGCACTTCATCAGTCAGTCTGTTCTGCTCCCCACTCTGTCTCTGGTGAATCCTCTCACTGCCCCTGAGCCTCTGGCCTGTGCGCCAGTTCTGTATGCACAAATAAATAAATCTTAAAAAAAAAGTGGGATATTAATTGATTATTTAATCCCTGTTTTACTGCAGATGATGTTGGCTGAATATCAGAGGGTGAAGTCTAAAATGCCTCCCATCCTTGAGCAGCTGATGGCCCCCCATTTGGCGAAAGTGGACATGGCTCTCCAGCCTGGCCTCTCCGCACTCACCTGGACATCCTTGTACATCCCGGCGTATTTGGAAAATGCTTTTGCTCATATCAGTAAGTTTGTCTAGTGGCTTGTTTTCCCTCAGTTTGAAAGGCTGAGTTTTGCATGCTGTTGTATCATTTCTTAGGATCTTATGATACAAAAAATATTGAAATGAGGAATATTGATACTATTCCTAAGCAGTTTCCTAAAGACTTTTACGAAAATACATAATTTAACTAATATTCTGGGAACGATGCATACTCATTACTTGCTTTTATCTGCAAAAATGAGCTACAGGTTAAAAAAATTGTATTTATCATTGGACATTGGAATTGACAGGAGCTTTAGAGTCGCTCAGCTTTTTATAGTATAGATGGGGGTGCTTAGGGACCCCACCTCTGAGTGAGGATACGCACCACTTTGAAATACACATAAGGTGGTGTATTCCATAGACGTGATTCAGGGGGCATAGGCAGGATGCCAAGGAGGGGTCTGGCCAGCTTATCCTGGCATCCGCCAGCGCGAGCAGGTTGGGCAGGTTTCTTCTGTGGAAGGTCCTTTGGCGCCTCCGCTGCCCGTGTCCAGTGGGTCTTCAAGAGAGGACTGAGGCATGTGGCATTTCCCAGAATTCCCCCACTGCCTCCTTGGAGGATCTGAGGACACCTCAGAGACTTGCCGTGGTAGCCGGGGGGTAGAAATTGGCACGCAGCAGGCAGCGTGTCCAGGAAGCCTAATCTCTCTCCTCCTCTGGAGCTCTGCCCCTCTCCTGGGGCAATGTTCCCCATGTTTTTTATTTATTTAAAAGTATTTATTTATGCACACAAGAATTGGGGTACAGGCCAGGAGTGAGAGGCTTCCCCAGAGACAGAGTGGGGAGCAGAACAGGCAGATCGACGAAGTACACTGCTGAGGGGAGCAGCGGGCGGGTCAGGAGAGGTCTGCCGCGCCCTGGGGCTCTCTCCCTGGCCGGGGATCAAGCTCGTGCTGCAGTGGCTGTGGACAGCTTCATAGTGCTGCGCTTAACCCGCGGCGCCTCCAGGGAGGGCCCACTGTCGCCATGCCTCATAGGTCAGAGTAAGTTCGACCTCAAGAGCCCCATGGATCACGCCCTCCTGTGGTGTTCCCAGTCGCCAACTGTACATTTGCTTTCGTTTACTGGCTTGTGCACTTCCACCTAGTTCCCCACACTGAATGCCAGGGGGTGAAGTCGGGCTTTGTATCGCTCCCGCTGGGCCCGCATTAGCCTCATGAATTCGTAACTGCAGTGGTTTTGGCAATGAACCTTTGTAGTTCTTTACCTCCTTAACCCCATTCGTACCTTTTGAGTCCATCACCTCATTTCAGGGTCACTCCTTCTCGGGCTCCCTTCTAGATATCTCTCAGGACACCTCCGTTATTTATCTTCTGTCTCTTCTCTCTCCCTTCTCCTCCCCCTCCCCAGACCCCCTCCCAACCTTTTTCTTCCTCAGGTTTTTCTCTTAGTTTTGCATTTATGACTCCTAAAGTCAAGCTATCTATAGCCTACTATATCAAGCACTGTCTTAGAAGCAGGTTTTCACTCTACCTTCCAGGTGTGTTAGAGCTTGGAAAGGTTCAGCTATTTGCCTATAGGGCCGAATATGCAAGAATGTTGGAGAGCTAGTCCTGGGTTGGGTGCAGGAGGGTGGGGATTACCACGGGCACCCTCCTTCCCTCTTCATTTTGTTTCGGAGCCTGGGGACTGGATTCAAGACAGATTGGAAGGGGCATTAGCAAACTGAATGATGTGTGTTTTGGGCTCATTAAAAGTTGGAGATTGAATAATATAAAATGTACTATCAGATAACCATAACATGAGAGCAGTGGAGAAGATTGTAGATTTAATCTTAAATTAGACCTTTAATTTAAGATTGGAAAATTGATCCAGAGATAGTAAATGGTTTCTAATGCTCCATAAATGTAAGCAGGAATGAAGAGTTAATAACCCAATTTCCTGCCCTTAAAACCAGTATTCTTTCCAAATACCTCTCCTCAGAAACTAAGACAAGAGGAAATTGGCTAAAAATCTAGAAGGAGGCATTTATAAAATGTGTAAAGACTAATTAAATTATCACAGCAGATTAGAAGATGCTACCAAGGTGGACTAAGGAATATTTAGTATTAGCATGTTAACAACTTGTATTTCTTGTAGAATATTGCTGGGTATGGGAAGCTAATGTCCAAAGAAATTCTTCTTTGATTCTTTTTCTTTTTTTAAATTTTAATTAAGGACCTAAGGTCCAACAAAGATTAAAGTCTGGCTGGTTAAATTGTTGACTAAACAATGGCTGGATTCTTTCTTATTTTTAGTATTTATTGAATTTGTTTTAAAGATTTATTTATCTATATATACAGAACTGGGGTACAGGCCAGAGGTGCAGGGGGTGAGAGGCTTCACCAGAGACAGAGCGGGGAGCAGAACAGGCAGACTGAGGAAGTACACTGCTGAGGGGAGCAGCAGGCGGGTCAGGAGACGTCTGCTGTGCCATGTGGCTCACTCCCTGGCCAGGGATGGAATTCTGCTGCAGTGGCTGCCATAGCTTCACAGTGCTGTGTTTTAACCCATTGTGCCACCAGGGAGGGCCCAGTATTTATTGAATTTTACTGTTTATTTAGTTTTTGCTCATCACCACTTATCATCAGGAAAAGGCAAACCAAAGCCACAGTGAGAAAACACCTTCTATCTGTGAGAATGACACACGTTAAAAAGACCAAAAACAAATGTTGGAGGGACGTGGAGAAGAAGGATTGCTCACACATGCTTGGTGGGAATATTCAGCCTCTGTGGAAAACAGTATGGGGGTTCCTCAAAAGTTTCAAAGTGGATCTTCCCAGTGACAGAGCAATTCCACTCCCGGGTATCTACCCAAAGAACACAGAAGCACTAACCTGAAAGGAAACACACTCCGATGTTCATCACTGCACTATCTGCAATAGCCAAACTATGGAAAGTGTCTAAATCCAGGCAAATAGATGGGGGGCGATGGTGTGTGTGAGCAGTGGAGCACTGCTCAGCCACTGACAAAGGTTAACTCTTGGCATTTGCTACAACACATGTGGAGATGGAAGGGCGATGGAAGTGAAATAAGCAAGAAGTGGAAAGGCAAAGGATGGTGTCACTAATGTGTGGAATATACAGAAGCAAAAGGAAAAGTCAGATTAAGCCCGCTGCTCCCTTCAGCAGTGAGCTTCATTGATCTGCCTGTTCTGCTCCCTACTCTGTCTCTGCTGAATCCTCTCACCGCCCCCGCACTTCTGGCCTGTACCCCAGTTCTATATGCATAAATAAATGAATCTTAAAAAATAATTAGCTTAGGCATGGCTGGTGTCTTTTCGATCTTTATTTTTAGTAAGTAAATGTATTTAAGTGTTTACATCTCTGACACATCATGTGTCTATGACATACGAAACCAGACTTCTCTGTATTCAAGTTTAGCTTCATTTCCGGGAAGAAAGTCATGTCAAAAAAGAGACAGTTTCTTGTATCTGTTGAAAATGTGTCAATTCTTAACATGGACATTCACAACCATCTTTCCTACTTTTGATATACAATTATTATTAATTTCCTTCAGAATTAACCTTTCCATTCATGGAACTTGGTGCTCAAGATAATGTCAGCATAACTTAAAAAAAATACTTTATGGTAGGAATCGTAAAAGAAAAATTAGGGAATTCCATTTCAGTTCTGTCTGTGAATACAACCTGAGGAATCGGCATTGGGGTGAGTGTTAAAGGTGCAAGGATGGAAATGATGAACGCTGGGAGATAAGAGGTTGAGTAGACAGTGCGGTGTAAGCAGAAATAGACCAGTGCCTATGGGTGATGCCAGAGGCGCTAGCAGAAGCGGGTGATGGGAGGTGGATGATGGGGGGGGAGGGTCCCTCAAGTGCAGGTTTCCCTGGAAATCTGCAAGTCGGATGTCCCTAGATAGTGTGATTTGTTAGGTCATTTTGGATCTGGGAAAGCTGTTACCATTGGTTAATCTGGAGAACTTTTTGTGTGTTCCTGGATATTCCTGACCCTCCCCAAAAGCCCTGTCACATCATATCCAATAGGAATATTCTACTTTGGGATAATGGGGAAACCTGATTTCGGCAGACTAAGAAAGATGTTTAAAGCAAGAGGAAAGTCAAATGGGAAGCGGAGGCATGGAGCAACACTAAGTCCAACTTTTACTACTGCAATTTAGTCAAGTGTTGGTTTCTTTTTTTAATATTCATGTATTTATGCACACAAGAACTGGGGTACAGGCCAGAGGGGGGTTGAGAGGATTCCCCAGAGACAGGTGGGGAACAGAACAGGCAGAGTGACTGAAATACACTGCTGAGGGAGCAGCAGGGAGGCAGGAGGGGTGTGCTGCACCCTGTTGGCCACCTCCTGGTTGGGGTTTGAACCCCGCTGCAGTGGCTGCAGATAGCTTCATAGTGCTGCGCTTTAACTCCTTGCGCCACCAGGGGGCGCTCCAAGTTTTTTTTTTTTTAAAGACAAAACACTATACTTAATCTCTTTTATTCGCTTTTGTTTTACCCAAAGAGGACCTGGAGCTGTTACTCGACAGAGTCAACGATCTGATCGAGTTCCGCATCGACGCCATGCTGGATGAAATGAGCAGCACAATCCTCTGTCGGCTGCCGCAGGAGGAGCCGCTCACTTGCGAGGACTTTCTCCAGATGACGAAGGTTATTGGAAGATGGATGTTTTTATTTAGAAATGATTTTGTGGTTCATTTTTCATGAGGGCATTTATTGGAAGTATAAATTGCACTTTTTTTCTACCTGTGATTGGTTCGTCGAAGGTGTGTTTCAAACACGGAGTCTCCTGACAATTTGAAAATGAAGAGGAATGTATTTAAGGGGTCACTTAGGTGTGGGAGCAAATAATTTCTTTTCAGGGAAATCAATGTGAAACACACTCTCATTTTTACGTATTTTATTTTTTTTGAAGGGTGGTTATTTTGCTGAGGAGCTTCTAGTTAGCCAGGAGTTACCATAGGACAACTGTGTGAAGCAGATGCTGGATAGCATTTCCTCTTCACACATTTCTGTAGAAGGGAGTTTCCCATACTGGTGTGGCACGTAGTTTTGCAACCATTGCTGGGGAATTTGGGGCGGTGGAGTCTGCTTTCAAATGACTTACAGGCAAGACTTCCCGACCTTCCCTCTGATAATTGTTTGTACATTAACACATTCAAGCCAGTGTCTTCTGAAGGTCTCCTGGGAAAAGCCCGGTTGACTTCCTTCAATCCATTATTTCTCAGACTTATTCATAAATGCGATACTTTCTTCTCTGTGTTAGGATTAAATCCTGAGCACACTGCTGTGAAATGCTCCTTCAGCATCACATGGATTATTCCTGAGGGCATCATCAGTATAGATTTTAATACGGTATATCAGGCATCATCTGTGTTAGGCCATTCACGTAGTAGACCACTACATCGAGTGGAACTCAGCTTAGACGGCTGCATCATAAGGAAGAAGACTGGGGAAATTTAGAGTAATGCATATACAGGCTTCTTTTATGCTTCCATTGTCTCACGAGGCATCCTACAGCGCTTACCCTCTCCCTGCAACAAACATGCCTCCCATTGCATGATTCATGGGTAGCATTAGGCGCCAGGTTGAGCGGGGGTGCTGGGAATTCCTAGTGCCAAGCACCCACATTGCCAGCACCTGTGTGTACAAGTGGAGGGGGTAGATCATCTGGTTTACTTGGGTTGGGCTTCTTCTGGGTGGGGCAGTGGAGATTGGAAGAGTGATGGAGTCAGGCTGTTCATTGCAGTATCACATGTCACAGGAGAGGGTTTCTACTGGGAGTGGAGGTCAGTAGACCCAGGGAAAGTGGATTGTCTAGAGGGCTTCTGGCCAAACAAGTCATGGGAATCAGGGACCGATGGGGCACCATGCTGGTTAGTCAAGGAGTTGCCTATCTGAAATTTGGACGACAGGTGTGTTCTTGTGAGTTCAGCATGCAAATGTTACCATAAAGGTTAGTTGATGAAACAAAGCAGGGTGGTTTCAGGCAGCTTCTTTTATTTATGATGTTTGATGCAGGGAGCATTATTTTTTATTTAAAATGTATATTTTTTAAATTGAGGTAATGTTTATTCATAATTTTGTAAATGACTCAGAGCAGAGGTTCAGACCCCTTCAGATGTATGTTACCAAGCCATGTCCACAGGATGTATGGAGCATTTTAATGGACATTTTCCTTGATACTTTTTCATCACCATGTTTATATGCTGTTTACATTTTTATGATCATGTCTTCTCTTAGAATTAAGAGATCTAAAAAACCTATTAGAACAATATTAACCTTTGCGGTTATTGATCCTGTCTTCCAGAACCTTCAGTATAAAGAAATTTTAAAATTTAAAACAGATGTTTCTATTACTGAGAGAACCAGAAAAAGTTCTAGAGAGTTAACTGAAAATTTCTTGTGAAAGCTGGCTCTGAGATAGAGCGAGCACTTCACTGAACACTTGTGTTTTTCCCCCATGTAGGGTCAGAGAATTTAGGGTAGATACTTAAAAAATATTAGTGATCTCTCAGAGAACAAAGAGCTAGCTTACATGAAATGGAACAAGGCTGGCAAACATAGGTTGTGTGGTCACGGGCGTTTTGTTGATCAGTAATAACAGCAGACACTTCTTGAATACTTTGTGGCAATCACTGTTATTGGCATCTTACATACATTATCTTCTTGAATACTCCCAGTAATGGAAGGTCAATTGTACCATGAGTATCATTTTACAGGTGGAAGAATCAAGGCCTGGAAGGATTTTCCAGAATCACTCAGAGCTAGGACTTGAACCCATATAATCTGGTGTCAGAGACTATGGTTGTTACTGGAGGGTACTAACTGTGTCTCACACTTTATAGTCTCTGCTCTATCTCTTTTTTCTTTTTTTTTTTAAGGTTTATTTATTTATTCATACAGAACTGGGGTACAGGCCAGAGATGTGGAGGGTGAGAGGCTTCACCAGAGGCAGAGTGGGGAGCAGAACAGGCAGATCGACGAAGTACACTGCTGAGGGGAGCAGTGGGCGGGTCAGGAGAGGTGTGCCACGCAGTGTGGATCTCCTCCAGGGCAGGCGGGGATCGAACTCATGCAGAAGTGGCTTAAGCTTCTTAGTGCTGTACTTTAACCCGCTGCACCACCAGGGAGGGCCCTGGTCTATCTCTTTTTTCATAGCTGTCCCTGAACAATAATCTCTATGGGTAGAGATTATTAATTGGGTGAAATTGTAAGGCAGGAATACAGTTACTTTATACATTTTTTTGATGATAGAGAAATTTAATGGTTTGTTTCCGAAACATCAGAATGTTCCTATGTTAATGGTATCAAAATACCACGTCCCTCACAGCAATGGAATGGAAGTAAGGGTGCTGGTGATGAGGAAGTAAATGAACCATGAGGCAAATGTTTGGAATGGATGGTCCACCAGCCCATTAGACTCTCAAGATAAATAATGGCGGAACTTGGAGTAGGTCTGGAGGCTATGCCCAGTTTATTACCCAACTGAGTGATAAGTCCTGGACTCTGTCTATGTCATATATCCCTTTCTGTCTGTCATCCTTCAGAATTGATTATGCCCAGATCATCTTAGTTTATATTTGTTAATTTTCATGCTTGGGAAGTATGTATTCCAGTTGAAGTGGAGGGGAATACCTGGGGTTGACTATGGCTTGTTGGCTGAGGAGATTAGGAAGACAGCTAGAGCAGATTTACGTGCAATGAAGACAACTGCATGGGAGCAGAGGCTGTTGGTGATTTTTGGAGTTATTTACTCCACTGCTGAGAAGTAAGTCCAGTTCTGGCTCAGCCATGCTGCGCTAGGTGGTTCCCTGTCTTTGACACCTTCCTTTAAGGATGCCTGACTTGGGTTGGTGTGAGATGTGACCAGGAATCACTAGAGACCAACATCTCATTGGAGGGAGGCTCGCATCATTACTGATGCACCCTCAAGGGATAAACAAATACGATACTGAACTAATTTTCTTGATAGGATCTTTGTATAAATGGTGCTCAGATACTACATTTTAAAAGCTCATTAGTGGAAGAAGCAGTCAATGAGTTAATAAATATGTTGCTGGATGTGGAAGTTCCGTCTAATGAAGAAAGTGAAAAATTCTTCAGTGTGAATAGTGCTGATTCAAAAATTAAAAATTCAGGTAAGAGACGGAGTCACCGTAGAAGGGGCTCATTTCTAGAGTATTTCTGCAAACTGAAAAATTTAATTTTCTACATTCAAATTAACTTCACCTGTCTATGAACACTTTTTATAAGGACATATACGGACATTCAGAAATATGAAACCATGATTCGGAGCCTATTCCAAGGATTTTGCCATTTTTCTTTCACGTCTTGTCACTGTGCACACATTCATTTGCACTTGCTCGTTAGCGCTCCTTACACTTGCTATAATTGTGTTTCTTTACTTGATGGGTTGAGTTGGATGGTTGTGGATTGGGATTCCCCTTGGAGTACATTGACTGTACAGACAAACTTTTGTAGGACACTCGAGAGCCCTTCTCCTGTCAGAGAAGAGTTAACATCCTCAAGGCTTTTTAGTGTTTGGTGGAAGAAAAAGCCAGAACCCTTATCTTGGGTGTTGTCCTTTTAGCCAAGCTCTTGCCGCTCATGTGGGTTTTCCCTCCCACTGGGGTGGCGGAGTCTCCCCTTAGTCTGCTGTGCTGATGGGCGGTTACTTTCCCTACCCTTCCCTCACTTCCCACGGAGGGTGATGTTGGCGCTAGGCATGCGTGTCATTTACCTTGTCTTCAGCTAAATTGCAGTGGGTCGTTGTCTTTCTCCTTCTCCCTCTCTTGTAGCAGCAAAACAAGAAGAAGGAAATTCTGAAAACTTGACATCCGTTAATTCTGGGATTGGTCTCCTGTCTTTGATGACAGTCACCAGAAAGAAGAAAGAGACGGAGATGCTGGTGGAAGAAGCCTGCGAATTGCTGTCTCATTTCAACCATCAAAACATGGACGCTCTTCTGAAGGTCACCAGGAGCACACTGGAAGCCATTCGCAAGCGCATTCATTCCTCTAACACCATCAACTTCCGTGGTAAGATCCCACAATGCCTCCTGGCTGGCGGGTGTATGTGCTGATTGTGTGTGCACTGTGAAGCTCAAATAACTAAGCACCCAACATCGATCATCTGCTCGTAAGTTTGAACACTGAACTTGGGTTACCCCACCAATTCTATGATGTAGGTGCTAACCCCACTCTGAGAAAAGTGAATACAAACAGGTTAGGTAATTTGCTTAAGTCACTTAGATTTTGTTAAAAACATAATTAACTGTCACCATTTTAAATCCTTTTCTAATTAGATGAAAATTAATTAGTCACAGAAAAAATAAATTCTTTAAAAGGAAAATAAATAGAAGGATAATCTCATTGTTATTAGGTAATGAGCTAGTTTTATAAAATGAGAAAGATCTTATTAATCCCATGTTGTCCAAAGCAGAAGATTTTGAATATTTTCATGTTAATTTTGCACTCTCCAGCTCAATTCCTCAGTCTCAATACAGTCATCTCCTCCTCAGGACAGTTCAGAACTTGGTGTCACAATTCCCAGATGAACCACAGAAAGGATCAGATTTAGAGACCTTCTGAAGTAAAATCTTAAATTACAAAACATCTATTTAAATACTACAAAACAGTATCTATTTAAAATGGAAAAATAACAGTATAATAAAATCTTTTTATTTGTTTTGAACACTGGTGTTGAGGGGAGAACACCTCTAATCGTTAATGAAATGTAGATGAATAAAAGTGGAAACATTGCAATACTTTTTTTGATTATCGGCGCAGTCCATTATATTTGATTTCACTTTGCAATGGACAGCCTTTTCTTTAACCTTAGGATAGTATCAGACCTTTTCTCATGTTGGCTGATATGCTGATCTAAATCCCACGACTTCCCAATGTTATATGAAGTTTTATAGAAAGTTCCCACGGACAGACAGTTGCACATATAATATATGTCCACATAGCATGGCTCTACCTGTGTTCTCTAAGAGCCCCTTGTACAAATGGTGAGTTATGCTTTATTTTCTCTCTACTTTTTAATTTCTTGTAACTTTTTTCCGAGGTAATATTGGTTCACAACAATATGATTTGAGGTACAGGTCCACACCTCTTCCACTGCTTGCTACCACACCTGACCAGCACCAACATCCCCCCACTCTCCACCCCAGCCCCCCAGCCCCCTCTTCTTGACTGTTTAACTGCTCCACATGCGGATTCCTCTGTCGGGGTAGGAAAGGCACGTGTTTACTTGCAGCTCCAAGTGGATTATTTGCTCTGATTTTGGCTTGTTTTGGTAGTTACCTGGTCTGCACGCCTTGCTTACTTATCCTACATTTAATTACCTGTTGGCTGCCTGTTCTCTGGACATGTCATCTTTAAGGTTTAAATTGTATCTTAATTGAGCCTGATCTCATGATGGAGATTCCATGTTCCAGTAGATTGTGAGTAGCAGAAACTAATTTGGGTTCCACTTGGGCTCTGGTGAACTAAGCTGATTCCAGTTAGCTTGCTTTCACTCATTCATTCTGATTACACACCCTTGTGTACTTGTAGCAGTACTTCAATTTCTGGGGGGCTGGAAATAGATGCGATCCCATTTTAATTGAGAGCAACGACATCTTCCCTGCTTTGTGTTCATTCAGAGAGCAGCAGCGCCTCGAAAGTGAATCAGAGTGTTCTTCCCATTTTCCGAGCCAACATCATGCTGGCCATCCCCAACATCACCATGGTCCCTGCCCTGGAGGACGTACAGCTGACCCTGAACAAGGCCGTGGACTGCATCATCAGTGTCACCAAGGGGGTCAGACAGTGGAGCAGTGAGCTGGTGTCCAAGGTCAGTGTGGGATGAAGAAGCTGTTTCCTACAGGAACTGCTTCTTCTACAGATAGAATGGAACTGAAAAATATCCTTTTGTATTCTAGAAAAAGATGCATGAAAAAAAAATGGCTGCTTTGAAGAGTAATGGGGACAGTGATTCTGATCTGGAAACAGGAGAAAATGAATCTCAAGGTAAATGCTTTAATTCATTTTAATAGTTGTAAACTAACATGTTCTGAGCTAAACTATATTTTTAAATGTTGGTTAAAAATTTGAGGTATCACAGACTTACCACATTATATTGCTTTCATTCAGGTGGACAACAGGAGTTTGACATCGCCTTTATTCCCAACCTACATCTGCGGGTACATTGTAGTGATAGGTGTATCATTGATTTCTGATAGAATATGGTGATGAGAGCTGAGACAAGAAAGATCTTAATAGCACCTGTGAAAAGTTTAAAACACATATCTGAAAAACAGGGTCGGGCACAAGGTGTTAAAGCACAGCACTGTGAGGCTGGCTGCCGTCACTGCAGCACCAGTTCAGCCCTGGCCAGGGGGTGACCCCCAGGGCACAGCAGACCTCACCTGTCTCCTGCTGCTCCCCTCAGCAGTGTGTTTCAGTAGATCCACCTGTTCTGCTCCCCACTCTGTCTCTGGGGAATCCTCTCACCCCTGCACCTCTGGCCTGTACCCCAGTTCTGTATGCATGAATAAATAAAAATAAATCTTTAAAAAAATAAACAATCACAAAGATGTCTGGACATCTCATTCCTCAGGTCTTTTAATATATTTGTCTAACCTTTTGCGTGTGCCTCTCCCCTCTAATCTCGCTGCCTCTAGCACCTGTAAGTGACACAGTTGCTGCTGATTGCTTTGGCCGCTGCGAA